AGCAGCATCCCAGGCAGCGTGCACCTAGCAGCATCCCAGGTAGTGTACTCCTAGCAGCTTCCCAGGCAGTGTACATCTAGCAGCATCCCAGGCAGTGTACACCGAGCAGCATCCCAGGCAGTGTACACCTAACAGCATTCCAGGGAGTGCACACGTAGCAGCATCCCAGGTAGTGCACACCTAGCAGCATCCAGGGGAGTGTACACCTAACAGCATCCCAGGCAGTGTACACCTAGCAGCATCCCAGGCAGTGTACACCTAGCAGCAGCCCAGGCAGTGTACACCTAGCAGCAGCCCAGGCAGTGCACACCTAGCAGCATCCCAGGCAGTGTACCCCTAGCAGCATCCCAGGCAGTGTACACCTACTAGCATTCCAGGCAGTGTACACCTACTAGCATTCCAGGCAGTGTACACCTAGCAGCATCCCACGCAGTGTACACCTAACTGCATTCCAGTGTACACCTAACCGCATTCCAGTCAGTGTACACCTAGCAGCCTCCTAGGCAGTGTACACCTAGCAGCATCCCAGGCAGTGTACACCTAGCAGCATCCCAGGCAGTGTACCCCTAGCAGCATCCCAGGCAGTGTACACCTACTAGCATTCCAGGCAGTGTACACCTACTAGCATTCCAGGCAGTGTACACCTAGCAGCATCCCACGCAGTGTACACCTAACTGCATTCCAGTGTACACCTAACCGCATTCCAGTCAGTGTACACCTAGCAGCCTCCTAGGCAGTGTACACCTAGCAGCATCCCAGGCAGTGTACACCTAGCAGCATCCCAGGCAGTGTACCCCTAGCAGCATCCCAGGCAGTGTACACCTACTAGCATTCCAGGCAGTGTACACCTACTAGCATTCCAGGCAGTGTACACCTAGCAGCATCCCAGGCAGTGTATATCTAGAAGCATCCCAGACAGTGTACACCTAGCAGCATCCCAGGTAGTGTACACCTATCAGCATCCCAGGCAATGTACACCTAGCAGCATCCCAGGCAGCGTGCACCTAGCAGCATCCCAGGTAGTGTACTCCTAGCAGCTTCCCAGGCAGTGTACATCTAGCAGCATCCCAGGCAGTGTACACCGAGCAGCATCCCAGGCAGTGTACACCTAACAGCATTCCAGGGAGTGCACACGTAGCAGCATCCCAGGTAGTGCACACCTAGCAGCATCCAGGGGAGTGTACACCTAACAGCATCCCAGGCAGTGTACACCTAGCAGCATCCCAGGCAGTGTACACCTAGCAGCAGCCCAGGCAGTGTACACCTAGCAGCAGCCCAGGCAGTGCACACCTAGCAGCATCCCAGACAGTGTACACCTAGCAGCATCCCAGGCAGTGTACACCTAGCAGCATCCCGGGGAAGTGTACCCTTAGTACCATCCCAGGCACTGTACACCTATCAGCATCCCAGGCACCGTACACCTATCAGCATCCCAGGTAGTGTACACCTAGCAGCATCCCGGAGAAGAGTACCCTTAGTACCATCCCAGGCACTGTACACCTATCACCCCTCAAGGAAGGTTCCTTGATGTTGGTGAGGGGCTCTTGATTTAGGGAATTGGATCTGTGCTCCAGTTCCCCAAATTAAGCCTGAATGCCTTCCACATCCCCCCCCAGGCGCTGTATAATCCTCCGGGTTTAGCGCTTCCCCCTTGATTGTAATAATAATGTACATCTATCAGCATCCCAGGCACCGTACACCTATCAGCATCCCTGGCAGTGTACACCTAACAGCATTCCAGGCAGTGTACACCTAGCAGCATCCCAGGCAGTGTACACCTAGCAGCATCCCAGGCAGTGTACACCCAACAGCATTCCAGGCAGTGTACACCTAGCAGCAGCCCAAGATGTGTACACCTAGCAGCATCTCAGGCAGTGTACACTTAGCAGCATCTCGGGCAGTGTACACCTAACAGCATCCCAGGGAGTGTACATCTAACAGCATTCCAGGCAGTGTACACCTAGCAGCATCCCAGGCAGTGTACACCTAGCAGCATCCCAGGCAGTGTACACCTAGCAGCATCCAAGGCAGTGTACACCTAGCAGCATCCCGGGCAGTGTACACCTACAGCACTCCAGGCAGTGTACACCTAGCAGCATCCAAGGCAGTGTACACCTAGCAGCATCCCAGGCAGTGTACACCTAGCAGCAGCCCAGGCAGTGTACACCTATCAGCATCCCAGGCAGTGTACACCTAGCGGCATCCCAGGCAGTGTACACCTAGCAGCATCCCACGCAGTGTACACCTAACTGCATTCCAGTCAGTGTACACCTAACTGCATTCCAGTCAGTGTACACCTAGCAGCCTCCTAGGCAGTGTACACCTAGCAGCATCCCAGGCAGTGTACACCTAGCAGCATCCCAGGCAGTGTACCCCTAGCAGCATCCCAGGCAGTGTACACCTACTAGCATTCCAGGCAGTGTACACCTACTAGCATTCCAGGCAGTGTACACCAAGCAGCATCCCAGGCAGTGTATATCTAGCAGCATCCCAGACAGTGTACACCTAGCAGCATCCCAGTCAGTGTACACCTAGCAGCATCGAAAATCCTTCACAAAACGGCGTTACCTCTGCTAAGCGCCTCTTGTTCCCTGGAATTTGAGCTACACTCCTCACTCCTGGATCAAACATCAACACCCCCAATGATTGTATATAGCTTCACTGCTCTCGAGTCACTACACCTCACTGTTCACTGTGCTCTTTCTGCCTCTGACTCGTTGTTTTTCATGCCTCTGTTGTCTCAGTGCATCTGTCATTTCCATCATCGACAGGTTGATGATTCAACGACAAAAAGAGACAAAAGGCAGAAAAAGAAAAACGGTAATTTAACGGCAGACGAGACATTTATTTCGTGGTGTACATAGGTAGTACGTATTTAAAAATGTAAATTAATGCCAGAGTTTCGCCAACTGTATCCATATAATAATCGCCATGAGGAAGTGGAAAAGAATTGCTCCTCGGTAAGCCATGTGTGTCTTAAGAGGCGACTAAAATGTCAGGAGCAAGGGGCTAGTAACCCCTTCTGTATAGATTACTAAATTTAAAACAGAGAAACTTTCGTTTTTCTTTTTAGGTCACCCTGCCTTGGCCGGTTCGTTGAAAATATTATTATTATTATTATGTAACCATTCTAAGTTGTTTTGGAAGTAATATCACTTTCATTAGAAGTGGGAGTTTCGAAGTGGTCGTCTCTGAGTGAGAGTATCAGAGTGATCGTCCCTAAGTGGGGGTATCGGAGTGGTGGCCCCTGAGTGGGAATATGAGTGGTCGTCCCTGAGTAGGAGTATCAGAGTGGTCGTTCCTGAGTGGGAGTATCAGAGTGGTCGTTCTTGAGTGGGAGTATCGGAGTGGTCGTCCCTGAGTGGGAGTATCAGAGTGGTCGTCCCTGAGTGGGAGCATCAGACTGGTCGTTCCCGAGTGGGAGTATCGGAGTGGTCGTCCCTGAGTGGGAGTATCAGAGTGGTCATCCCTGAATTCAAAGTTCGATTCAAAGTTTATTCTCTATAAGGATTACAATGCTGAGTTTACAGAAATTTGGTTATTGTTTGGTTTACATGTAGTAAAATTGTGATTACAGAGTGTACCACTAGAACGCTTAGCATGGCTAGGCATTTCGGGCATACTTAGTTTTATTCTTAATTGTAAAATATTACAAATTATGAGGTAAGTTGGTGTTATGGCTAAGTGACTAAATACTTGTTTGTGAGTTTAGCAATGTGAATGCTTTTGTTTTGGCACAGTACATAGTTTCAGTATTGGAGTATCACAGGATTCATTATTTTAAGATGAGATTAATATTTCCGTTTATGGTCAAATGAGTGAGTGAGTGTAAGTGTGAACCACCAGGTGGTATTCGTGTAGTTAGTTGACGGGGTGTATCAGGGAGATAAGATGTTTTCTAATGGTAGTTTTGAAGGTGATGAATGTGTCTGCAGTTCTAGAGTTCTCAGGTAGGGTATTCCAGATTTTAGGGCCTTTGACATACATTGAATTTTTGTAAAGGTTTAGTCGGACACGGGGAATGTCGTAGAGATGTTTGTGTCTGGTGTTATGCCTGTGGGTTCTGTCACAACTATCAAGAAAGCGTTTTAGGTCAAGGTTGATATTAGAGTTTAAGGCCCTGTAGATATAGATTGCACAGTAGTAAGTGTGGATGTACTGAACTGGGAGCAAGTTTAGATCTATGAAGAGTGGGGGGGGGGTGTTGCCAGGGATGGCAACATTAGTATTTGGGAGTATCAGAGTGGTCGTCCCTGAGTGGGAGTATCAGTGGTCGTCTCTGAGTGAGAGTATCAGAGTGGTCGTCTCTGAGTGGGAGTAGAGAGATTTTTCGTTCGGATTTTTAACCCCGGAGGGTTAGCTACCCAGGATAACCCAAGAAAGTCAGTGCGTCATCGAGGACTGTCTAACTTATTTCCATTGGGGTCCTTAATCTTGCCCCCCAGGATGCGACCCACACCAGTCGACTAACACCCAGGTACCTATTTGCTGCTAGGTGAACAGGACAACAGGTGTAAGGAAACGTGTCGAAATGTTTTGCACCCGCCTGGAATCGAACCCGGGCCCTCCGTGTGTGAAGCGGGAGCTTTAGCCACCAGGCCACCGGGAGTATCAGAGTGGCCGTTCCTGAGTGGGAGTATCGGAGTGGTGGTCCCTGAGTGGGAGTATCAGTGGTCGTCCCTGAGTGGGAGTATCAGAGTGGTCGTCCCTGAGTGGGAGTATCAGTGGTGGTCCCTGAGTGGGAGTATCAGAGTGGTCGTCCCTGAGTGGGAGTATCAGAGTGGTCGTCCCTGAGTGGGAGTATCAGAGTGGTCGTCCCTGATTGGGAGTATCAGAGTGGTCGTCCCTGAGTGGGAGTATCAGAGTGGTGGTCCCTGAGTGGGAGTATCAGAGTGGTGGTCCCTAAGTGAGAGTATCAGAGTGGTCGTCCCTGAGTGGGAGTATCAGAGTGGTCGTCCCTGAGTGGGAGTATCGTAGTGGTGGCCCCTGAGAGACTCGTTTTCTGTGTTCCGTCACGGGATCACCTGACTGACACTGTAAACAAACCCTCACCAAGGTGTGGGTGGCAGAGAAAGCTGCCCTTTTTTCTGTTTTTTTAATCCTCTCCCCTCTCTGTCTCCCCTCTCTCAGTCATCACCATATATTCTCAACATTGTATGCTTCCCGTCATCTTCAGCCTTCTCGTCTCCGTGAAATCAGGAGGTATATTCGACACACATTCTTCGGTCCTAGTCAGCCTGGGGTTCTGCTACCTGGGATTAGGTATATATTATTTTTAATTTAATTTTCTTTTTAAAGAGCACTACCTGAGCTCTTGTATTGTATCCTGCATGAGTGTTAATGGTTGGTTGGTTAGTGGGGTTTTAAACACTGGAGAGACTACGAGGGTCATTAAGTCTTCTAACCAGTTCATCAGTCAAATATTTGACTGATAATGGTACAACTTAATCCCTAAGGAATTAAAGTAAACTCTCGGAATATATACATGCTGAGAGACATACTACTTGGAGTATATATACATGAATGTATATTTTTTCTTTTGTTATTGTATTTATGTTTTTGTATTTATTTAGCTGTATAGCCCTTGTGGCTTAACGCTTCTTTTTTATTATAATAATAATAATAATTGTATTTATTTATGATTTAAGTTTACTGGTGACTTGTAGCCGGGTGATACAGCAGCTCACAACCAAAAGAAGCTTCCTACAATCCAGGTTTTATAATTATTTTAGGACTATGTAGTGATTGGTAGCTTCAAGTATAGCTTGGGTTGGCATACAAGTGGGTGTGAGTCGGACTTGCCTAGTATTGGCCCACTTCAGTGTTCCATTATTTTTGTTCTTGTTCTTAAATTGTAATTACAGTTAGAAATGTAATTGCAAGTATTTTCAGTTTCAAAATATATGGGAGTAATATTGACATAACTTAAATTATTATTCACACCTCCAAGGCCCCGTCACCTACCTTGGTGGGGAAAATTCCATGAACTTGGTGTGTCCTCAAAGCACATTCCATGGACAGAGCTCAGCATTTTTTTGGGCTTAAATGCAAAGGATATGTTCTTATTTGCCAGATCTTTTTTTTTTACACTTTTAAATTTATGTAATGTTTCAAAACTGAATACTATGCAAGGTATACTACCAATCCCATAACAGTTGGTGGTAATAATAGATAACTGCTCATTATTGGATTTAGGTGATTAATTATATTGTAGTTTCAAGTGTACAATATTAAGTTGGCTTTTACATTTCTATATTTTAGGTAATAGTTACATGTAAATAAACAATGGAACTCATTCATTATTTTATACTTTTCAATACATACAACTTTTGTACAGCATGGAAGATGTAACCATTTACATAGTACACTAATAAGAAGGCCAACATTTCTCCAAGAAGCTAATGCTATATCAACAAGAAGTCATTTTTTTTCAACAAGACTAATGCCACACTTACAAGAAGGACAGCAATATTTTCCCAAGAAGTCTAATGATACACCAACAAGAGGCCATAATTCCAAACTTGACAAGTAATCTTGCAGAACAGACGTAACAGAATATTTATTCTTGTTGAATATAATAAACCTGTGGAACAGTTGCCTTGCCAAAAAAATTCAAAGGAAGAACAATGCTAAATTATAAAATATTGTACTAATGAAATAAGATCCCCTTTACAAGTCACAGACTTTTTCCTACTCACAAAATTATGATGAAATAGATAATATTTTTTCTATTGGGCACAATCCATACAATTTTTTTTTTTTGTCACAATGGTCGTCTTCCACACAGGCAGGGTGACCTCAAAAAGGAAATGCATTCACCATCACTCATTCAATAGCTATCTTGCCAAAAGAGTGCGAACAACACAATTCAGACGACTCTCCAAACAGTGACAGCCCCATCCATCTTTCAGAGTGCAAGCACTATACTTCTCACCTCCAGGACTCAAATCTGGCTAACCTGTTTCCCTGAATCCCTTCATAAATGTTACCTTACTTACATTGTAATGGCACTTCAAGCCCTTAACAACTACTTGTCTCTGTTCACATCAATTTAAAATGTTCACACATGCCTGCTAAATACTTAGATCTCTACCACCAAAACCTTCTTCACCCCCTACTTCAAATCCTTACTGGGATGACTCCTATCTCTCCTTTCCAGCCTGGATTTATATTACACTCTCTGTCATCACATTCTGATCCATCCTTTCTAAATCGATGAACCACCTCAACAACCCTTCCTCATTTTATTATGTTGGTACTCTATGATTACCAAGTACGTATTGTAATTGTCCATAATTCTCTACCTGTTGAAAAGAGTGGTGACTCATATTAGGAAGATACCCATGTACAGTATAAAATTTGAAATAAGCATTAAACCTGAATTATAGTAGGCCTACAGGAACCTTCTGTGATGTACTTTTATATTCTTCAAAATAAAAAAATGGTAGTTACTCTTTGAGATATTTATAAAATTGTATATATTTAATTACTATAAATGTACAAAATAAGTACTGCACAGCTCATGCCACACAATATTGGAAAAATGAGCACAAATGATTTGAAAACAGAAAACCTTATGAGATTATTCTTGTAATGACTGACAGTAAATATATATACATTGGCCTGCTAACAAAAATGCAGACTGCTTTTGTGTGAGTGGTTGTCTGAAATACAGTGAAGCTGTACATCTTTCTGAGATTATTTTGAATGAGAAGGCTAGGCATTTTTACATGAAATGTACATCAAAAATGCACTGAAAATGTTGCAATGGATGACTGGAGAGATTTTATAAATACCAAATAATAGGTCAGGTTAAAATTTTTGAGGAGAAAGAGTTTGTAGAAAATGGTGCTGGCAATGATTTATTGGCCATATTTGCTCATTTATTGAAAGATTTTAATTTAAGTGCAAAGCAAATTTAAAATGTAGACAAAGCATGACTTTTCCAGGTCTACAACATTTCTTGTTAGTAGTGATCAAGAAGCTGTGGATGGAATGAAAGAATCAAAGACAAGGTTAACTGTTTTGATGTGTGTCAGTACAGTGTGGACAAATAAATACAGCCTCTCCTCACTTAACAACGGAGTTAGGGGCCTAAGACCCTGTCGGTAAACGATTTTGTCGCTAATCGAGGAATCACCCCTTACTGACACTTCAAAAGCATCATCACCCAAAATTAAAACATTCAGTTTTATGTTTGCTGGGAAATTCCTTTCAATTTTTATTATTAACAGTAATACAGTATGAAATAGGTCAGTGATTTACTTCTGAGATATTTCAGGAAACATGTGCATAGCTGATTGCTTGGGGATTTTTTTTTTTTTTTTTTTTTATCCCTCCCGGCCCTCCACCCTTCAATACCTCTCTATATAATGTCAGTTTTTATTAATTTGGGCGTCTTTATCATGCTTCTACATTATTTATGTTATACCTAATATTATTCTGGAATAAATATGATAGGTAGATAACCTTTATTGATAGTAATAGTATAATTATACAATATTTTATAGTGCCGTGAGCTTACACGTCTATACATCATGGTGAAGCGTGAGTTACTGAGAGACATTGCTGGCACCTTCTCCCTCTCTCTTGTATAGCCGGATCAGCCAGGCTGTGGCTCGTACGTCGGACTGCGTGCGGCCAGCAGTAACAGCCTAGTTGATCAGGCCCTGATCCATCGGGAGGCCTGGTCGTGGACCGGGCCGCGGGGGCGTTGATCCCCGGAATAACGTCCAGGTAACCTCCAGGTAGCCTAGTTATTATGGTTTGAAATTCTGTCGATGCTTTCACTGCCTCTTTCATTCTATTATCATCCTTCATAATAGTGGGAATGGTAGAATGCGCCAGCTTCAAGTCATCGGCTATCCTTTCACTTTCTAACCAACTTCATACTCGTTTATAATCTTCATTTTCACTTCAAGATCGAGAGCCTTCCTTTGTTTCTTGGCACTTCCTTGAGGTGAAGTCAAGATCTTCCTTTTTGCTGACATCTTGTACTATGGGATGCATATTTGTACAGATATGTATGTATTCTTGGAGACAGTGAAAGCTAGTGTACTCAGTGGCTGTAGGAGGCAGTCTGAAATACTTGATGCTGAGACGCCGCACTACCTGTTTCCATGACCTACGTTCTTGTATGGCATAAAATCCTAATAATAATAATAAAATACTACTACAGTGGACCCCCGCATACCGTTGGCATCACATAATGTTAAATCCTCATACCGATACATTTTATCGCTAAGATTTTGCCTCGCATACCGCTAAAAAACCCGCTCAACACTATTCATCCGAGACACGTCTAATGTGCGGCCTGAGCCAGCCTCACATGTTCCGCCGGTAGCATTGTTTACAAGCCAGCCTCCGTGGTAACATCCAAGCATACAATCGTAACATTTCGTATTATTACAGTGTTTTTGGTGATTTTATCTGCAGAATAAGTGACCATGGGCCCCAAGAAAGCTTCTAGTGCCAACCCTGTGGTAAAAAGGGTGAGAAATATTATCGAAATACTGTGGTACCATGGTCAACTGCTGATGCTGCTGCTGCTGTAGCACTGTCAGCTGCTGCTGCTGCTGCTGTAGCACCGTCAGCTGCTGCTGCTGCTGTACCACCGTCAGCTGCTGCTGCTGCTGTAGCACTGTCAGCTGCTGCTGCTGCTGTAGCACCGTCAGCTGCTGCTGCTGCTGTACCACTTGTCAGCTGCTGCTGCTGCTGTAGTACCGTCTGCTGCTGCTGCTGCTGTAGTACCGTCTGCTGCTGCTGTAGCATCGTCTGCTGCTGCTGTAGCATCATCTGCTGCTGCTGTAGCACTGTCAGCTGCTGCTGCTGCTGCACTGTCAGCTGCTGCTGCTGCTGTAGCACTGTCAGCTGCTGCTGCTGCTGTAGCACTGTCAGCTACTGCTGCTGCTGTACCACCGTCAGCTGCTGCTGTACCACCATCAGCTGCTGCTGTAGTACCGTCTGCTGCTGCTGCTGCTGCTGTAGCACCGTCAGCTGCTGCTGCTGCTGTACCACCGTCAGCTGCTGCTGCTGCTGCTGTTGTAGTACCGTCTGCTGCTGCTGTAGCATTGTCTGCTGCTGCTGTAGCACTGTCAGCTGCTGCTGCTGCTGTAGCACTGTCAGCTGCTGCTGCTGCTGTAGCACTGTCAGCTGCTGCTGCTGCTGTAGCACTGTCAGCTGCTGCTGCTGCTGTACCACTGTCAGCTGCTGCTGTACCACCGTCAGCTGCTGCTGTAGTACCGTCTGCTGCTGCTGCTGCTGCTGTAGTACCATCTGCTGCTGCTGTAGCATCGTCTGCTGCTGCTGTTGCACTCTCAGTAGTAGTAACCAGTTACCAGTAACCACTGTGCCAGTTGACTCACGACCAACCATCTCTGCCTGAGTCACTGTCTGAACTCATATTGTGCTGACCTAGCAGTATTCAAAGACCCTCTCACATATGGGTACTGTGGGCGGCCAGCCAGTCAGTTGTACGAGAGAGAGCAGAGAGACTAGGTTACGACTGTAAGGGCGCTACCCACCTTGTCTGTAATTATACGTACTACCAGCCTACGTGAGTATTACTTTACCCAATCCACGTGTCGAACTCCCACATGATAAATGGTGACAGCGGTGTGGAGCGTGGATTTAGTTTTTACGGGTAATTCAAGACGTTAGAAGACTGTTTGTGAGTAGCCGGCAGGGTCAAAGGTGAACCGTCACCCACCAGCTACTCCCCTCACAACCTCCAACCTGCAAGCCTGTTGCAGCCGTTTCAAGCTTCCTGGCTTAGTTCGTGTGCTAATTGCTTCAATCTCCGAGGGGTTGACCCGGATTTTGCAATTAAGCCAGTCAGTAAGCCAGACTGTGGAAGTGAACGCCAGTCAGCCTATCATCCAACCTGTCTCCTGTCATCCACCTGCTCCTCCGTGCTTTGTGCATCGTTACACGTCTTCCAGTCAGCCATTCTCGTGGGTTAAGCCAGTCAGCCAACCCAGCTTCTAACCCAGCTGAGAGAGAGAGAAGTAAGCCACGCAGTAAGAAGTAAGCCAAGTTCCTCTGAAGTATTGTCTATATCGCTTTGTGCTCCCTGTTGGATGCTAAGAGTGGTTTTCACCATTCCTGTGGCATAGAGTGGCTTATCAAGCCACCTTCGTGGGTAGAGTGGGGTGTGCGCCAGTGCGCCTGCGAGTCTCTCTCACCCACCGCTATCTCTCCCTCCACCCACCCACCATCAACCACCCACCACCAGCCACCCACCCCATCTACCTGTGGTTGTTTGCACCCTTGTTCCGGGTCCTAATACTGTTTTGGCTCACATAATTGGTCAAGAGATGTAGTGAGCGCCAACGATAAAGCCAATTATGGGGGTCCACCGAGAAAGCGCATTTCTTCCGACAACAGTGAGTGTAGGAGGCGTCAGTCATCACCGCGCAGGACAACCTACAACCTACCCTCATCACCAGTAATCACCCGACTACTACAGACTTCAGTGATAATTTAGAGACATTTTTCTTGCATTTAAAGACATTTGCGTGTGTGAGACATTTATAGTAAATTTCTTGTGTACTCTAAACCTTGTGTTTTCAGTGTAGACTCAGTGTTTCTTTGACTCATTATTTTTACAATATTTTTCAGTGTTTTCACTCATCTTATATTTTTTTATTCTGTGTTTTTTTTATGCTACTCCTGTCTGTAGTAAGTATTATTGTGTAGTGTACCAGTCAGTCACTCTGTGTGAAGTGATTCATTTTTTTTATTGTATTCTTTCAGCATTGTATTCTCCAGTAATTGTCATTGTATTTCATGCAGTGATATTCACCCCAGTATACCAAATTATCCATTTATTTCTATGTGTGTCTTTTTTCGTATGCCAGCAGTGTCTCATTCCTCTAATTTTTTCGCAGACTGTGTACCATTATTTTTGCCAGCAAATTTTTGTCGTATCAGTCACAGCAAGATTTTGTTGTAAGAATATACAAAAAAAAAAAAAAATTATACGTAATGAAGTGTGCCCTGCCACTGTAAGTGTTGTGTGCCCTGCCACTGTAAGTGTTGTGTGCCCTGCCACTGTAAGTGTTGTGTGCCCTGCCACTGTAAGTGTTGTGTGCCCTGTCACTGTAAGTGTTGTGTGCCCTGCCACTGTAAGTGTTGTGTGCCCTGCCACTGTAAGTGTGACACTACCCGTTTTGTTCCTTTGTTTTATTTTTATTCATATTTTTTATTTCTTTGAACAAATTCACTCTTGATGCAATTTAAATTACTTTTAACGTAAAGTGTTTTCTTTACTCTGTTTGAGTAAAATCCAACTACTAGCGAACCGTGGGAAAGAGTTGCGCTAGATTTGTTAACTAATTTCCAATGTTCCCTCCAAGGTAACAAACATCTGTGTGTTATGGTAGACCATTTCACCAGATATTGTGAGTTAGTTCCTATTGCAGACAAGACTGCCGAGACAGTAGCTAAAGCGTTTAAAGAACGCATTATCTGCAGGCATACCACCCCTAAGTCACTAGTAACAGATAATGGAGGTGAATTCTGTAATGAGATTCTTGAAAATTTGTGTACCTTGTACAAGATCTCTAAATCCACCATTGTTCCTCATCATCCTGCCAGCAATGGGTTAGCGGAACGAACCAATAAGAAAGTACTTGATGTCTTGAGGGGCCACTATCAATCCCAACAGTGAAACTTGGGATGAAGTTTACCTGATGTGCAGTGTGCTATAAATTCTGCTTACAATGTTTCTATAGGTGACACTCCACATTATGCATTGTATGGTGTAGATAAACGTTTGCCTTATGAGTTGTTATATTCTAATCCGAAACCAAATTACAACCCTGATGATTTCATAGCAACTCGTACCAGCTTAGCTCAAAGTGTTTTTAGAAGAATCGTGAAACACTTCATAAATCAACAGCAAAATTTACAAGAGTCGCAAACACTCGAGCAAAGCCATCCAAAATCAAAGTAGGTTCGGAGGTTTATGCTGATTAACTTTAACAAAACGTCTGCAATGCCAAAGCTTGATCAAAAGTTTGTTGGTCCTTATCGAGTAGTTGAACATATCACTGGTAATAAAGTATAGGTTAGAGAGATTAGTACTGGTCAGTATAAAGAATCGCATTTAGATCATATGAAGTTAGTATGTGATGATAATGATGTTCCAACCCAGACTAATGTGACAGACTCTAACAATCCTCCTGATCCTGTTACTCTCTTCCTCTGATACTCAGTCAGACGATCACCTGAATGTCGTTATTCCCTACGTACACGACAGGTATTGAGAAATCCTCAAATATCATTTGTAACATCCAATTCAGATTTGCCTCAAATACAGCATGAGTTAGCCAATGCTACAGAGTTTGATCCTCCCAGAGATGACACCCATTCTGCATATGTCAATCTCACCCTAGCAGAGTTGGGGTTAAATGTAAATAACCTGTATAGATGAATAATTACAGTATCAACTTATCAGTATTCAAGAATTTTTTTTTGTGTTCATGTTCTCTCCGCATTCTGAGAGTTAACAGTCTAGATTTGAGTGCACCGAATCTGCCTTTCTGTTAAACACTTTCTTTGTATATATTCCTCCCTCAGAATCCGTAGATCACATGAATACAGATCGATCGATCAAATTTTTTTTTTATCACTTCTATTGTGTAATCTCAACGTTGAGTTTTAAGTTGTGCTATATTATACCTTGTATTGCATTACAGTTTCAGTTACGTAAGCTTCCATTCCATGTTCTGCTG